GGTTATCCACAATTTGGAGAGCTGCTCTGTATTGTTTATATTGCGCCTAAATCTTTTTTGGTGCTGAATCCACTAGAAACAATAAATTTTAATGAGCATTTTTATGCTTATGTGGTACAAAGAAATAAAATTTTGTTTAAAAATATTGTTATCAATGCAGATAGTTGTAAAGATTATCATCCTTATAACATTACTAACTTATGTGACCAAATGTTTATCGGCACACGTTACAGAATTTTTTAATTGTTATTGTTAGCCATTGTAATTTTATTATTAAATAATTTCACCGCTTATTAAGAAAAACTGCATACTGATTACATAGTAGTGCATTATAGCAAAACTCTTTTAGTTTGCTTTAAATATTTATTATATGAAGATGTTGTTTTTTAATACTATATGCTATAGGGTCCCCACAGTCCAGGAGTTTGACTAGTGTCCTGGAAAGACCTGGCATTTTTTCTTAAACATTACTAACAAATTAGAAAATGGTCCTGAAAAGTCTTGGAATAAGGTGTTTTTTTTTTCTGTGGGAACCCTGTACTATAACATACTATAAAATTTATATATAAAATGATTTTGAATATATATATATAGAAATGATTTTGAAAAAATTGATATCTGTTTTAGTTTATATCATTTCTGACTGATATATATAGAATGTCTCTTATTTTGAAAATATGGTCTGTTGATCAATCCAAAAAAAAAATAGTTTTGCTGAAGAAAGATGAAGACTTCGTTACTAAGGGTGAAATAATTATTTATATTTGATAAATAGATACTATTTTGTCAATGTTTTGTTCCTCTACAGTTTATAAATGTGTTGTCATTTCTAATTGTAGTTGCCAGTAAATTTGGTTTGTTGTCAGGAAATGATCTTAAATTTGCATTTCAAACCGATGGAACAGAAATTGATGATTTTGACTACGAAGTGTTGAAACATTTTTCTGATAGCGGTACAACTATTACAGTGCTTGTCAATGATGAGAAATGGGTACCTAACAACTTGGTAAGCAAGTTATTTTCAATTTTCTTTAATAATTTAAATCCATTTATTTATTTTTGATTTGTTTTTTTATAAATAATATGTTACACAGGCTGTGTTTACCCCTGAGGTTTGCAGTTCTGCATATATTAAAGAGGACTGTTTTGATACCAATAAAACCGGCCAAACGATATTGAGTCAGGATGATACATTTTCTTGTTCAAATGCGTTAAAGGCTTACCTAGCACAACATCCAGTGAGTGCATTTTTTAAATAATATAAAGTTTCATTGTTTACCATGTCCTTTATATTACAGTATTAATTGTTTATGTTAACTGTCTAAATTTTATTATAATTTGTTTTTACTTAACAAAATTTCATTTTTTCAAATAGAATACCTTACAATATATGAATGAAATAAATAATTTCAATGTCAATTGCAATGCAAGACAACATATTGTTAGAGTTGTTATGCACAAAATGGTTTGCTTATATGGAAACTATCCAAACAAATTTCAAAAAAGCAATGTTGCAGTATTGCTAGGTGAAACTCTTGGATTGCCAAGCAGCATTTTTTATGATCCTGTAAGTTATAATGGGTATCTTGACAGGGCTCTGGAAAATGCAAGGAGAAAGTTATTGCGTGAGTATTTAATAATAATCATATTATTAACAAAACATTTGAACTTATTTTTAAACTGTGTCTCTTATTTTAATCACGTAACATTTAAAATTGTATTATAACTATGGTGTTATAATGTATAGTCTTTTAGTATTTGCCCCAACTTATGTGGAGCAATTGGCTCATAATCAAGTGGCACCACAAATTATAAATTAAATGGTTCTTGATTAATGCATTAGCCTTTTGTAAAATTAAGAAAGTCTTACCAATTTTTATTTAGCTTCAGCTAAAAAGCATACCTGGTCACAAAAAAGGGAAGCAGTTAAAATCAAAATACCTGATTCTACTGTTTCCAGGGTTTTTACTGAAGAAACAGAAGAAGCTTCTTGCTCAAAAAAATGGAAAGAAGGATGTCCTCGTGGCTTGGCAGATTGTATGATATGTGGAGGTTTGTTTTCATTTTGGAAGTTTATGAACATGGATACTAAGTTTTAAATAATGGAATCCAATGAATTGGTTTTCTTAGATTTAATTTTAATTTCATTTGCAAATTATTAGATGAAGGTAAAAAATTTAAAACAACATTTGACTTTTACATAGGTGTTTCAAACATTGAAGATGTTGACAAACTAAGATATCTTGCCTCCATCAGAGTCGAGGAAATAAAGCAATGTACACAATCTACTTTTTGTTTGCGACAGACATGGGTTGCAGATGAGAAACCAGTCTTGTCTACGATTATAAAAAATTATCCTAAATTTGCATTAATTCCTGAATTGGTATTATTCTGTATTTGCTAAAATTTTATTTGTACAAACATACATTTAACTTTTTTATGTGCAACGAATATATTCAACAATGACATTAAATATTTTCTCTACTTAGTTTGTACTATATGATTATATTTTTATTTGATTATATATATACCCTGCTTTTTTTTCGATAAATGTCTTATCTAGTTGATAATTTTTTCTGATATAATAATGACGTTTTTAGATTGATATTGAATTTTCAACCAAATATCCTATATGTGAGCCACATTTATTGGATACATTTTTGAATAAAACTGTTCAGCCACTTTATCAGTATTGTGGACTAATGAAAGTTAGTTATCTGACAAACCTAGTCAATGCACCTAACCAGAGTAATGAAGGTATACTATGTTTATATTCAATTTTTTTTTCAATTTTTTTTCAAGCATACTATTGAAAATGGTATGCCTAAGAAAACCTTTTTTGAAAACGTCATGATTTATTATCTAGATTGGCGAGTGTATAATGCATGCAAAATGTTATGCTATTTATTACGGAAAGGAGGAAAGCAAAGGAAATCTGCCCCTGAGATAATGGAACACATTATGATATGCAATGTAAGTATTACCTCTATAAAATAATTTTTTAATGTTAAAAATGTTCATACAGCGTATTTGAGAAGTATGACCACCAGATACTTGATTTGCAATAAAATGAAAAAGCCACTATCTCTAATAATTTTTATTGTCAAGCATTAAAAAATAACATTTTAATATTTAGGTCGGTGAGTCGATTGCATTTTTCGCAGAAAATCTTGAGAACCCATATCCTGTTTTGTTAATACAAGGGCAGGAAGGCGAAACTATTTTATCAATAAACATTGCATATGAAAAAAAAATAATCAATGCAGGCAAATCTATAACGGAAGGTATAGATCGAATGCTCAAACTTTACTGGTGTTTCAATATTCAATATGATCCAATTTGTGATTATTTTTGGCAGTTCATTCAGACTCATTATGATCTTGACACTGGAAAAAAGCCTAAATGTGTAATTGAACTACTGGCTAGTTTACTAAAATATACAATGTATTCAAGTGATAGTTTCTGATTTTTTTTTATCTCTAACAAATATGTTTTTATTTTATTGATTTAATCTATCTTGATATCTTTTTTTAAACTGAAAGAAAAAAGCTCAAAAGAGACTCTTTTTAGTGGAAATTTTAGAATTTTAAACTGTTATCTATAATCTTATTTATATAATTATATTAAAATTTAAATTATTTAAATATATAATTTTTTGTCAACTAGATATTTTTTCATTGTTTTTTTATCCCTGAGCTTTATTATTTTTACTAATGTGCAGCTGTGGTTATAGAAAAAAGATCATACAAAATAAGTTATTAGATTATGTTAGAAGTGCTTGAAATAATGAAGTAAATAAATCTTTGAAAAATGTAAAACAGGAAAGTCTTGAATATAGTGCCTCAACATTTTTTCTTTCCTATTTGGTTCCAAATAAATTAAAAACACAAATCTCAAATGAGTAAACAAAAACAAACTATATAATGAAAAAACATTTCCCTTAACAATTTTTTAAAAGTTGTGATCTTGAAAAAAAAGTTTTGTATACGAAACTTTTCGACGATCTCAAATTTTCAAAAAAATTGTTATAGCACTAAAACTACAAAAGCAAAGTATAGTATAATATTTAACTATAGAATTTAAATTTGAGATAGTTAGGGGGGGGATACTATCCTCTGTGCGTACGTCAGCATCAGCGCCGTGCTGTAACTTTTGGGGACCCTGTGCAGAAACTAAAATAAAATTTTTTTTCTTTCAATTCGTGGTAATTTATGGTATTGGAGAAGTTTTTCTAATGTATTTAATAGGGGGCCCAGTGCGATTGCACTTGTTGCACTTGCGATAGTACGGCACTGGTCAGCATCAATTTACTTTATTTTACTAATTTACCTTTATTTTTCCTAGTAACTAACTTGTTTCCCTGTTAACTAAGTTGTCCATCGACAAATAAATTACTTGCCGTAAAGTAAAAATTCATTATGAAGCGCGCATTGTAGTGACTAGTGTCGTTATGAGGAGCATCTTATTTTGGTAATCGTTTGATAAATTATTTTAGTAGGTAGGTTTTTCAGTATATTATAGCTTTTTATTTTGAAAATGATAAAGTTTTGAATGCGTTTTTCTCACATTTACATTTACATCGTAGATAAAACTTGGATGCAGTAAGAGTAATGTGCCATTTTTTAAAAGTCTTTACATTTAGTAGACAAATGCTTTGTTTAAAAGCAAATGAATAAATATAATTTAAATTACGCTATGTTATGTGTAATTTCGAAGGTTATTTAACTTATTTTAAATTTTCTATATAAAGCTTTATATAGAAAATTTAACAATAAGGTTTATTTTAAATTAACAATGCTTTAAAGCAATGAATCTATTTTAAATTGTTTTTATATGATATATTAAAGCCATTAGTATTACTAAATGATATACAATAACATATTTGGTAAGTTAACACATGTCAGATATGGTAAGTTACTACATGTTTAAATCTAGAAAATTATGCAAGAATATATATATATATATATATATATATATATATATATATATTCTTGCATAATTTTCTAGATAGATATATATGCAATCCATATATATGCAATCCATATAGTCTATATTATGTAAATAATAGTTCAACTAATCCTTTACTAGTAGTAAAAGGTTAGTTAAACAGCTAAGTTTACATGGATAGTTAATATGCTTTTATAAATTGCAATTTTTATTAATTTTTAAATTAAACATGTGGCATCCAATATCATAAACTAAGTTTATACTGGTGTGTTTAAATTATTTTAAAATTTTCTTTTTTAGACACATAGCATTTGTTATCCCACTGTAAGTTAAAACTAGTTGTAAAATTAAAAAATTTATATTGGAACTTCTCTTTCTTTTAACATTCATGTTTATTTAATTTAGTTACAACTAAGGTTATATATGAGTTATTTATACTATTTTACAACTTGCTGCTTTAGAGGCATGGCATTTAGTGTCACATTGTAGGTTTAAGTTGGTCGTAGAATTTATACTGTAACTTTTGCATTTATTTAGTTAAGTTTCAACTAAGTTTACATCTGATGTGTTTGTATTATTTTAGAATTTGCTGTTTTAGACATGTGGCATGTGGTATCCCACTGTAAGTTTGAATTATTAAATTTAAAAAAATTATACTTTAACTTGCATTTCTTTTGACTTCCATGTTTATATAATTACATTACAACTAAGTTTGTGTATGGCTTGTTTATATTATTTTAGAATTTGCTATTTTAGATACTTGGTATATGCTGTCATACTGTAAGTTTAAATTGGTTGGAAAATTTATATTGTAAATTGCATTTCTATTGGCGTGCATATTTATTAAGTTAAGTTTCAACTATTAATAATAACAATAAGTTATTAACTTGACGTGTTTATATTATTTTAGAATTCACTGTTTTAGACACGTGGCTTGTGATATCCCACTGTAAGTTTGAATTAGTAAATTTAAAAAAAATTATTTTAACTTGGATTTCTTTTCGCATGCATATTTATTTAGTTACGACTAAGTTTAAATCACACTTTTTAACTATTATTCTACTATATTATATATTCACTATTTTTTTAGAATTAGCTATTCTAAACATGTGACAAGTGGTATGACCCTGTAAGTTTAAATAAGTTGTAAAATTAATTTTTTTATATTGTTACTTGCGTTTTTTTGGTCTGCATATTTAATCTTGTTTTGATGTATCATAGTTTTTAAAACTTTAGAGACCTTATTTTTTGCTCCTGACAGGTATTGATGTATGTGAAATGTCTTTCAGTTATCAGATAGTGTCAAGGTAATCTTATACTTATTTTTAAATTTACATTTTAATTTACTTGTACCATTTAACCTTATCTTTAGAAAGCAATAACAGATATTATCAAAATAACAAAATTTGAATAGAAATTTATATATAATGAATTAGCAAAAAAAAATCTATAGTATTATCAGTAACATTTTATTTTGGTTTTAAACTAGGTATGTTATTAAGTTGCCGTATTTTCCTTAATTTATTTTATATTATTTAATCTTTAAGGAGTTGACAGTATGGTGTCTGATTTGAACCTGTGATGGTGTCCGATTTGAACCTGTAGAGAAGTAACAACAATATTCAAAACCAAAACCTATTTAAACCAACCAAACCAAAACTATCGACCAAAAACTAATATCTTGGCATTGATTTATATTAAACATCTATTATATATATGCGTGTGTTTTATATAAATGTACTAGCTTGAGTATAGTGTATTTAAAATATTTTTTTCAACTATTTTTATTGATGTTATACTTAGTATAATGTATTGTTAGTATTTTATATACTTAGTATTGTAATATACTTAGTATTTTATTGTAGTATAGCTTGAGTATAGTGTATTTAAAATATTTTTTTTTCAACTATTTTTATTGTAATTTAAAGTATATTGGATTAAATATTATAAATATTTGATTAGTTTTCAATTTTTGGTTTTTTAAGTAATTTTAAGTCAATTTTAAGTAGAATATCGAAATAAAATGCAATTAAATAAAAATGCAAACATTAACAAATATAAGGATTATTTGGTCACAATTCTGGCCTCTCTTATTTTAGATAAAGTGATTTCAAAAGAATAACAACCGCGGAAAATTTGCTGCCTAGTGTAATAACTCTTTAATTTCAACGGATTATTCGTTGCACTAATGATATAAATTTGTATATTCAACGGACTAATTCTAACGGACTTCAATCCGTTAAAATTTTAATTTGTTAAGTTAACGGATTTCCCGTTAGTGCAATAGCGACAGATACAATTCGTTGTATATAACGGATTTTTTCTTAGAGTGTGGTATAGAACTATCAAGAAGCCTTTTTGATAGAAGATCAATGATACGGTATTTGATCATATTTAATTATTAATTGATATTGAAAGTAAGCAACCGTAATGTGTAATGATATGTGAGACATGGTAAAATGAGTCACCAACATTAAATATTCTGAGTTATTCCTTGTACATATAATGAAGTGACGAAAATATTGGCTCAATAGCTGATCTGAATATTACCAAAAACAGGTTTTTAGATACACAAAATGATTGTTTTCTAACTAAAAATAAAAAATCAACTTACAAATAAACAACAAACGTATTAGACTTATTGATAACAAAATCTTCAGCTAGAGTTTTTCAAACAGAAGACATGTTAAATTTTGTTTGAATATTTCTTGAATATTTTATTATTCCTTGATTGTTTGTTTTTTGTTTCAAAGAATATTTTTTGTTCCAAAACAATTTTAGCATAGTGTTATGCTGGGATAATGTGTAATTACCCGTTATGTCTATTAAAATTATGTTATAGTACAATTTAGTAATGTTTATAATATTGTATAATATATATATAATATATTATATTATAACTATATTATAATATAATATAGTTAAAATGTAATAATTTATGTTTATAAAAACTATTATTTAATGTCTCAAGCTTTCTAGCAGAAATTTCAAAATTTCTACTATTTTTGCGTTGTTGGTTAACTCTACTAAAACAGGGCTGCTTAGTGCATCGTTCCTGGATTTGAAATGATGAACTCTTTGGATTATATTTTTATCCACGCATATTACACTAAATAGATCATTAATATTTTTTTACCCATTAAGTCAGGTTTTCAAACATAACGGTAACATAACGCTAGATTTCGTGTTTTATAACTGGTAATTGCAGTTATGTTCAATTAAGCAGTTGCATCTCGGAATTAAACGGAATTAAATTTGAGTATGCCACATAGCTCTTAGTTACCTATCTTGTACAACAAAATTACCTGGCACTCGCCTAAAATACGCGATTCCTCCCTAGGCCCCCGGTGAAAAAACTTGTTTTTTACATTTTTGAGTCTTCTGAAAATAAACAAAAAAAAAAATTTCTGGGGGTGTGTTGCAAGGTCTCAGAGCATCTTCCTATGCACCTTAGTCATAGTATTTAACTAGTCTGGAAACGCGGGCTATTTTCTTATAACTAGTCTGGAAACGCGGGCTATTTTCTTATAACTAGTCTGGAAACGCGGGCTATTTTCTTATAACGCCTAAGTTCCTCTTTATTTTAGTGCTCAGACTATTAAGAGTGCATCAAATACACTGTAAACATTGTATTTCGCTTTAGTTAAGTTGCATATATTTTGGGATAAATAATGAAATGGCAGGAGCAAGTTGTGTTTTTTTTGGTTATTAAGTTTCAAGAACTTATTTTGGATTGCATATATATTTCGTGTTCCGATGAATATAGCATAAATAAAGACATTGTCAGCTAATAAATATAGTTACGTAACACTATTTAGGACAACGTGGTTTTTTACCTGCGAGATTTTAGATTGTGTTACTTTTGAGGTAAAGGTTAACTTTTAAATTTTAAATTTTTAGCCTTATCTTTTAGGAGTAGTATATTTTATAAATGTTTTTTTATTGAACGTTCATTTTGACTATTTTAAAACAAATGATTTACAAAAGCATTTATATTCATATGTGAAAAATTGAGAAAATAACTCTCAACCAAATTTTTTTTTTCCACTAACAGATTTTTTGATCTTATTTTAGAGTTAAATGAAACAAATCTTTAACAGTGTCACTTTAAATTTTATTTTACCGGACCTACCCTTATGGATCCAGGGCCGACGAGAGGGGGGGGGCACCGGGACAGTTTGTCCCGGGCGGCAGAGATCCAAATGAAATGAAGGTACCTAAAAAAAAAAAAAAAGAGAGTCCTCCATATATAATATAGGAAGAAATTGATAAATAAGGGCGCCAATCAGGATTGCTGTCCCAGGCGGCGTGACAGCTCTCGGCGGCCTTGTATGGATCCGTTAACCGCTGTTCGACATTCGAGAAAACAAATTATTTGATTATAGCGTGTTTACTACCATGCTTATTGAAATATTTCATTTATATAAATTATTAAATAATAGTATAATACAGTATAAATTTCCGGTTCATAAACTTCGTTTCCTGTTCATTTGGACCAAGATTGTTGTTAAAGTTCAATCAAGGAAGAATCGAGGAGGAAACAAATTGTTAACGACGGATATACAAGACTTTAAGAAATATAAAATTAAATAATAATTAAAATTTTAATAAGATTTAAAAATTGTTTCAGTAAAATTATTTTGTAGCATCAGTAAAAAGAATTATACTTAACTAAATTAATTTATGCTCTCAATGTTAAATTAGCAAGTAAAAAATAATTGAAAGCAGCTTTAAGATTTGTTTTTATGCAGAAACTAGGTACTGTAACAGGAAAATTTCAAATAAAAAGTAAACATAACATCGTTAACTTTAGGACGATAACACGAAAATGAGTATATGAATTGTATTCATAATTATACTAGAACCATTTATTTTTGAGAAAACCAAATCATAGATTACGCTCTGTTAGCTTGAATATCGCTGTCACAAAGATATTTAAAAACATATGAATCTTGTAGAATCTAAACATGAAAAAGAGATCACAAAAGAAAATCTGCCTATAATGATCACTTTTACAACCCGTTTATACTTATAGATTACGGGAACCATCTATTACGACTTGCGACCAACTGTCGTAAGTTGATGACTACCGCGATCTGTAAGTATTACGAAAGCGACTATAATGTTTACGAAAGCAAAACATTTACTATAACAATAACAATAACAATAATATTAATTAACAACTTTTTAGCCTTTGCAACAACGCACTTAAAATTTTTTTTTTTTTAAAAAAGGAAAAATATTTTCTTTTTTAGGACTTATAATTTAAAAACTTTATTTGAAAGTTTTTTTAAAGCTATTGTAATAAGTTTTGCAACGTATTTTTTATAAAATAAAAAAAACCCGGAAATCTTCTTTAAAATGGCTTATATTATAAAAAAAGTTTTAGAAATGTCATAAATAATAATAAAATAGTTTCATGGAATAAAAATCAGCTGCTCCAATTAGCTTCAATAGAAAGTATAGATTTAATTATTTGCTGATTTATTTTATATTTTTTACAAATTTTTATGATTTTTTAGATATAAAAACGTTTTGAAATTTAACAAAATTTAACAAAAGTAACGGAAAATACAATAAATTGATCGTAGTTAAAAGAATTTTACAAAAAAAAAAAATCTAATAACTTTAAAATCAACATTATAAATACAAAATTTTTTACATTTATATTTATAAGAAAATGAATGACAAAAGAAATAAACTTTTTATGTATAAAAAGGGATTAACATGAAAAAAAAAAAAAATTGTAAAAACGCAAAAACTACAAAATTTAGTTTTAGTATTATAAAATTTTAGTAGTGACGGTTTATTTGGAGCTTTAGTACTGAAAGTTTATCAGTAAAGGTTTACAAGTGAAGGTTTACTAGTGAAGGTTTACTAGTGAAACTGTAGTAGTGAAGGTTTACTAGTGAAACTGTAGTAGTGAAGGTTTACTAGTGAAACTGTAGTAGTGAAGGTTTACCAGTAAAACTTAAGAAGTGAAACTTTAGTAGTGAACGTTTAGTAATGAAGGTTTTAGTTACTTCTGAAAGTGCAGCAATTAATAATATTTGGAGGGTTAAATTTTTTAAAAGTGGTTTTTAAGGTAAATTGTAAATGCGGTTTCAATAGTGTATTTTAAATGTGGTATTGATGGTGTATTTAGCCAAAGTTTGTATAAGCAAATCTATGTTGAAACAGTATAATACAGAAACCTGGTTTATGTATGCCGTATGATTTTTTTTTTCACGAATAACAAATTTGATAATCGGAAGTTGCTCCCAATTGAAGTTCTTTTTCATTTCATAATTGTTTTCAATTTAACAATAAACTGTAAAGCTATTCGTTTTCATGCAAACAGTCGCGATCTATGCGTTTTGAGTACGCAAAAGGTTTTAGACTGAGTTACTTGATTTTGGTTAAAAACATGCTATTTTGGTTGAAAGAATAATTTTTATTCAGATTATTATTTGTGCTTAAAAACTATGCTAGTTAGTGTATTTAGAAAAAAAAATGTTTTAATTAATTGGGGATTAAAAGTTACATTTTTTTAATTTAGTGCAAATAGTAATTATATTAAAAATGACAATTACAAGTTTCATTTAATTTTTTTTTTTATATATACAGTGGTTGTTGATACAGTGGTGATTGCAGTCGCCATTTATAATAATAATAATTTATAAAGGTAGTGGTTCAATTCAAACCTTTTCATACTTCTTCATCTAGATTCCAGGACTTCCAGGTAATAATTTATTGACCATTCATCAGTATTCAATTAGCTAAGCAAATGTGAGTAAATTATTCTAATTATAAGTGTCTAATAATGTCTATTAATTTATTTCATTTGACGATCGCCGTCATATATAATGTTTGTGTAATTGTGGTATGATGCGTTATATTTTTTATACTCGCTTTTTAATTTAATAATTTTTAAAAATAATTTTACAGACGGTTAAATCCCGAGGCTTGTTTGCACGAACAAAACAGATTGTCACACAATCTTCTAAAGTATAATTAATGGTAATTTGACTGACTGAATGGACCTGAAAACATCAGACAACTGATTGAATCTGCAGTGCAAAGATGTATAGAACGATTGATGATCCGTTTAAAAAAATGATGATACGTTATTTGAGGCTAGAATAAACAAAACAAATACGTCTCGGCAATACATTTTATACGTTTATACCTATACGTATAAAATACGTTTTTACCTTATTAAAAACCGTTAAAATACGTTTTTACCTATATTAAAAAGCTGACTCACAACCACAGTGTATGAGATTCGTAAGAAGATTTTTTACTCCATTAGAGAAACCAGATGCATTCTATCCTTAGAAACCAGATGCAATCTATCTTTAGAAATCTTAGGCGTCCAGTTTAAACAAAATCTGTACAAATTATACTAGTTTTATAAAATTATAACAAGACATGTATAAAGTTGTTAGTTTTTTGTTTTTTCCGTATTCTGAGACTTAGTGAAGCAACATTCTGTAGCAAGAGAGACTTGTTTAAAAATAATAATGATGTATAAAAAAATAATTTTGGAACAAGTTTACATAGAATATCTTTAAATTCCGTTCTCAAAAAAATAATAGTAAAAAAACAATAGTAAAAAAAAAAAAAAAAAAAAAAAAAAATAGATTTTGGATCAGAAAGTCTAAATTGTTATTCTTGGAAAATAAATCCTTTGGAATATTTGTGCAGTCTTAAAGGACCGTGAAAACAATTTTTCCACTGCTCCGATTATAAACTGGCTGGAAAAAGCTTTATGGAGAGAATAAAAAAAATCACGCGATATACTAATTTGTAGCACAAAAACGAGTACGTTTTTTAAAAAAAAATCCCTTTTCACTAATTTGCAGTTAATTTGATTTTATACGCGTCCGCCTGTGGGATAGGTCCGGTAGTTCGGCTAACCCGTTTGGTACTCTTTTCCATAGTTGATTTTCTATTGTAATAGACTCAAAATAAAAAAAGTATTTACTTAAAACTTGCTGAGGAGGGTGTCATATATTCTTTTAAAAAACATAAAAATATTATTAAGACAAAGTTTTTAATTTAATTTTAAAAAGATGTTTGCTTTTAAAATTTTTTAGGATTTGCATGCGATTTTGATGGTAACAAATTTTTCACCACCAGATAAATTTTGTTAAACTAATATTATGTAAGAAAAAAATTGTTATATAACATAATTAATATTATTAAAAAAATATATATTAAAAACTATATTTTATTCAATCTACTTATTAAAACAAAGGTAATACAATGTAACATCATGATTATGTATATCATGATATACATAATCATGATGTTACTTTTAATAAATGATTATGATCTTGATGATTTTTTTGACAGTCGCCAAAAATTTGATAAAATAAGTAATATCTAATAACATTATAAATATCTAATTGATCTATAATATATTATATATATATATATATATATATATATATATATATATATATATATATATATATATATATATATATATATATATATATATATACATATATAAATATATATATATATATATATATATATATATATATATATATATATATATATATATATATATATATATATATATATATATATATATATATATATATATATATATATATATATATATATATATATATATATATATATATATATATATATATATATATATATATATATATATATATATATATATATATATATATATATATATATATATATATATATATATATATATATATATATATATAGTTAGTTAGTTAGTGGTAAACTGCGTGGATGTTATCCGCAAGCTTAGACGTTGTAACGTTCAGCTATAGCAGCCCAGTACTTGTTTTTTTTTCTTTTTCTTTTAAATTAATATTTTCTTATTTTTCTTAAGCCATTCGTCTAAACTTGCTTTAAAACTATTCAAATTCTCAGAATCTACAACTTTTTCCGGAAGTTTGTTCCAAATTTAGAAAACTCTGTTTGTGAAGAAATGGATTCTGGAGCTAACCGATGCATGAAAGTCATTTATTTCGCGAGGAGTAAAACACTGCATTCTAATTTTATGTTTGAGACCTCTAATGGAAGAACATGGGCCATCTAATTTAATGCTTGACTTATAGACTGGTTTGACATTAAGATTGACAAATTCTAGATTGTTTAATATCTTATATAAATGATAAAGTCTCCTCGTTTTCTTCTGAGATTTAAATTAATTAAATCCATTTTAACTAGCCGTTTCTCATAACTTAGTGTTCGGTTTGAGTATGGTCTTTTTGTGGCCCTACGTTGAACTCTTTCAAGCATTGAGATTTCTGCCACATTCGGAGGACTCCACGCTGGAGCTGCAAATTCAAGATGAGGTTGCACATAAGTAGTATACAAAATTTTCCACATATAACAATCTCTACTTTCAAAGGCATTTTTCGATAACCCCAGTATTTTTGAAGCTTTGTTTACACATACTTGCGTTTGATGCTTCCACCTCATATCCGGTTGTACAAAGACACCTAGATCTCTTTCTAATACACTGTTTGAGAGGTCATAAATCATTCCATTTAAATTCATTGTGTATGTTTTATCAATACCTCGAAAAACTTTCTGATTGCCGAGTCTCATCACCTTACATTTTTTGCAGTTTAGTTCCATACCCCAATTGTTGCACCATTTCACAATGTTGTCAAGGTCGGTTTGTATTTCCGCTTGTTTATCAATGGAATCTTCTATGGCTATTATTTTGCTATCATCAGCATACATTTTAAATGTGTCTAGCACAACTTCTGGGAGGTCATTTATGAATAGCAGAAACAACATTGGACCCAAAACGGAACCCTGAGGCACGCCACTGGTAACTGATACCCATTCTGAAACTGTATTACTAATAGCAACTCTTTGTTTCCTATTTGCAAGATAACTTTCAATCCAGTTATATATTTTACCAGTTATACCATACGCTTTAATCTTTGTCAATAATCTTTTGTGTTCTACTTTATCAAAAGCCTTTGCGAAGTCAAGATATATGATGCATAACGGTTTACCTTTTGCAGTTTCAAATGTAATTGTGTCAATTGTCTCAATAAGATTTGTTGTGCATGATTTGTTTGGAACAAAACCAGTTTGCTCCTCAGATATAAGTCTATTTGAAACTAAATGTTGCAGAATATATATATATATATATATATATATATATATATATATATATATATATATATATATATATATATATATATATATATATATATATATATATATATATATATATATGTATACATATATATATATATATAATATCATTATTAAAACCATTGTATTACCTTTGTTTGCGACTGCTCTTTGCTTTGTATACATATTATAAAGTGAAATGATTGATTGATTGATATCAACCAATCAATCATTTATTTCACTTTATAATATGTATACAAAGCAAAGAGCAGTCGCTAACTGAGAAGAAACTGACAACCCTCATTGTAACTTTGAAAAAATATATGAAATAAATAACTAGTATGAACTAGTGTTCATACTAGTTATTTATTTCATATATTTGACATTGGATAATGCTCATGCATTAGCCAATGCCACTGGCAATGGAGTTTTATAAAAATGAATACCTTTTAAAACTTAAAGGATATCACATTGTTACTTTAAGACTTAATGCTTTTGTTTTAGAAATAGAATTATATAGTTTTTAGTTATAGATTTAACGAAAGTTTATAAATTGTTAAAGCAAAAGTGTTACAGTGTTGTAAACTTTTTATATAGGCATGCACAGTGTCCAAATAAAATCTTATCTATCAATCATATTTATAAAATTCTATTCATCGCAGTAAATCTTTATGTTGTTTATATTTATGTTTTAGGTTCAATAAAATATTAAATAAAGTTCAAGAAAAAAACTTCTTGAATGTAATGTACCAAAATCTACCTATGCCTAAGGTATACTGTTTGATATTAAAATTTGTTAAATACAATAAATTTATTGATAGTAAAAGTTTGTTAATAAAATCTTTATAACTTTATTAATCCCAATTTATTGCTTGTTATTATCAAAGTTTGTTGGTCAATATGTGTATATGTAGTTTAAATAATAATAATAAATAATCAAGTAATCAATGTAGAAAAGAAATTAAAAATTAATTAACAAATGTGTAAAAAATGTCATTATTTCAAAGGTATTTTTTAACTTTTCTTTTTCTTATGGCTAAGATTATTGTTATCACTTTTTCATTATTGATTTAATTTTGTTTGTTATTATTTCTCTTATTATTAACAATATTAACATTCTAATTCTTATACTAATGATTAATAATAATGAAATAATGATAATAATAATTAATAAAAATTAAACTA